TATTTATAGGTGGGAGCTAGTCAACGAGCGCATAGCAAAACTGCTCAAAAAATGCCCCTAATTCTCTCTCTAACAACAATTATCTCTTTAACAATAATTTTCTTTCCTTTTCCCTTTTCAAAGTAGTCCGCAGACCAGACTTATTGGAGTTCTAAACTGAATCACTCTCCCCACACTCAAAATGATTTCAAAAATTCGAGGTTTTCTGCTCAGGTGTAGTAAAGTACGTGAAAGTAACGCTTCAAGACATCTCGTCGTCTAACACAGCAGTAAGAAGTCACATAACACGTCAATGACAGGGAAACCAGTTTGTCCATGACATCTGAGAATTTATCGTTAACGTTTGTGAGGGAGGCGACAAGACAATGATCGGCCGCAACGGCGCGCGCGGCGTATCGCGCGGCAAATTCGCGATGCGTGTCAGCTCGTCGATTTAAGCAGCGAGTTACGTATGACTTCTGGTGAATACAAGACTCCATGCCGGGTGGCATGAAATTTTTCCATCCCTTTGACAGTCGTGTTCAAACGGCCATGAGGACAACTCGTCTGTTGAGCGCGGCGTCGCCGCCTTGCCCATCAGCGCGACATATTGCGATAGTCTTATCACACCCCCGCTTGTAACGCCAATGAGAGGTCATAATTCAATTAACCGGCTATGTACTGAGTATGGACTGCGCGGAAATTTGTTCAGAAAGTTCACTGGTTGTAGCTTCTAGCCCCTTGCAGCAGGACTGTGAGAAGCCACTAACTTTTTAACGAGAATTTCGTGTCGAAGGGAGACTTTTTCCGGTAGCAATCATAAGACTGGATAACGTGAGGCTTTTCAGAAAGTACTAGACCACCATGCACACTATTAAAGGCATGCCCAGGCGTAGCAGCTCTCTGGATTCAGACCTCGGACAGAATCATCTAATAGACGCGATCGCTTCCCAAGTCGATCATCAAACTGTTAATAACATTATTGATGTTCAACGGCAGAGGTAATATTTTCTCACTGATAGTAGATTGTTGCGTGTTAGAGTGCGTCCAGACTTCGCGATCGCGCGATCCAATCGAACTATGAACGCGCTCTTATGGTCATATAGCCAGGGGATGTAATGGCGTTGTGGAGAACTTTTGCTAAAACAACGACCTCTCCCAATTTTCTCCTCCGGGTCGACCCGTCTTTACTGATCATAATACACTTTACTGAATTCACAAAATTTGTTGTCGAACGGTGGGAGCGAGGGGGGGGGGAGTGATGCCGGACTCACTCAGTCTTTTGGCTGCTGGCGGTATTTATGAAGTGTTGTGCCCATCATTACAACCCTCCTTACTCCACTTCCCCAGCCCTCGACGCCTGGTTGAAGGAATGATTCTCTTCATTCTAGGCTCAGTCCGCAGGAGGAGCAAACACCCGGCCAACTAAAAGAAAGTGAAATTGCTGGCTCTGACCACCAAGGGGGTGTGTAGTGCGCGTGAACGGGAGAAATTAAAAGTGAGAAAGAATTTTCCCAAATACGACCTCTTTCCCTTTGAGAGACCAACTGATACTCCGTCCGTCCTCCCCCCCAACCTACGACACGTGTCCTGCCTACGACATGCGACGGATTTCACATCTCGCGCCGTGGTAGCGATACTGGAGTGGTAAAATCCGTGTTGATGGTGTTGGTGTTTAAACACCTATCCCCAGCCACCATGCACCATAACCCCCGTTCTACACCGGTCAAGCTCAAGGTATTTTGTGCAGCATAGCAATAGCTCGACGGCAGATTTCCTCTTTTGTGAGGTATTCATTGGATCTCAACTAGAATAGTTTATAAATATTTAATGCTACCGTTAAACATCTGTTGGCCATTCCTTCAGCTTGCGACGCTTCGAAAAGACAAATGAAATGTTATCAAACTGCACGCACTTGAGCGAACGTCGTCTTGAAAGAGCGAAGAAGGATGCTAATGCCTACAAAGACACCATTATGCAGGTAGATTCCGCTCTGTTTTCTGAACTAATGCTCAATATTCCTCATCCTGATGCTCATCGGTGTCTAAATCAAACTTTCAGGAGGTTATTCCCTTTATTTATTTCCCTAACGAAGAGCGGTGATGATGTAGTGGCGAGCAACACCGCCTACCGCGTGTACGGTCCGGAATAAAATGTCTGCTAGATTCCGCCGCGTCAAGGCGTGTCCTGCAGCTGCGGAAAATTTTTGCAAAATACGTCCCTCTGGTTTGCTCGTCACCCAGCACGACCCGCTTCTCATCATTCTACCATCTTACTGAATTTTCCCCAATTTACTACCACTTTTTTTTCCGAAATTTCCCCTCCGGCAGGGTATAAAGCCCAAAGGAACGGAGATTCCCCGAGGAACAACAACGAGAAAAAGCTTTCTAGACCAAATACGACGCTCTTCCCCTAGCGACCAAACACGTTTCCCGCTGGTCAGCACTGGTGATTTCCCAGCGCTGACTTGTGTGAACTGAGCCCCCTCCCACACTGGAGGATCGGCCAGTAAGAGCTGTAGAAAAAAAACACTTGCACATAGACAGCCCCTCACAATTTGTTGTGAATTAGTCTGCAGTGCGATTTCGTATGAGAGCGGAATGCGTGGCACTTCTCGAAAGGGGGAGCTGTTCAGTGCCGTAAGCTCCAGCGTTTTTATCCGTCTTCATTCTCATCGTGGGGGTTAAAGTTTTTGGGATTAAAGTCAAGAAATATTCTCTAGGGAGTACTGGAAGATAGTCAAGAGTCTAGCACTAGTAATAGAT